TTGTTAAAATATACATGAAAATCCATATAAATATATGTTTTTATATGTAAATACTTATATGGTGAAGGGTAATGTTAGAGTTAGGACTAAATTTAGGGCTAGAGTTAGATTTAAGATATAAATTATATATATATATATATATAAAGATATAAGTATATATAAAAGTATATATGAAAACCTATTATATATGCTTTTATATATTCATATATTTTGATTAAGGTGTATATAAAGATAGACATGGATCTATAAATTAATATACATGAACATATTTATCTATATATGTGAACATGGAAATATACATGTCAAAATATATATGACTATCATATGAATATATATGGTTTATATATAAGTAGGTTTATGTTTGGGGTAGTGCTAGCTTTAGGACTAAGTTAGGGGTGGGATATGAACATACATATCAATATATATTTATAGAAGTTGAAATTAGAAACTGCCGCAGTCCGGCTGCAGCAAAATAACCAGGGGCGGGGGGGGGGGGGTGACGAAAAACTTGTGTACGTTGATACAGCAGGAGTGGAAGCCATTTATTGCAGGACAGGAGCAGTATTTATACATTCCACACAGCTTATCTAATTAGCATAAACTAGATACATCAGTCAACCAATAAGGAATCTCCACACTTAATGGCTCGCTTTTGTTACTTCTCAAACCACTCCCTCTGGCATTTTGCCAGGCACCATCCAGACTTGTTTAGGAACTCTAACATTCCCCTGGCAAAATGCCAGGTGTTATTTTGACTTGTTTACAGACTCTAACAAGAAACTACTGTATGGCAGTTTGTTAGCTATGCTCAAAGATAGATTCAGTTACACTGTTTGTAAAACAGTAGATGGACACATCTTTGAATTTTGTTATCTCACTTGTTGTGGATTTCATTATTTGGTACCTGGCAATATGTTACTTTACATGACTGTTCATAAGTAGAAACTTAACATTTGTGTGTTTCTAGTGTATAGCTAGCATCATAAATATGCCATATTCTTGGTGCTCAGTTCCTACTGAGCCTGTGGAAAAAAATGTCATTTTTTGACACTTTTGAAGATGAAACACTGTGCAATCAATAAAAGTAATGCTTTTTTGTATCCCCTTTGGTTTCTCTTAAAAATCTCTCTTTGTGATTCTAAAAGCTATTTTAGAAATCACTTAATATTAAATTTAAATTATGAAGTCATAAGAAGTAGATGCAAAATAGAGTTTAATGGAGCTGACTGACAAACACCATTTACAGATTTATGTATCTTTCCAGCAAGAAGATAGAAGATAATCTATTGATTATTAAAGAAGTTTAACTTTTTTATTCATTGGTTCTTTTGAGTTATACATGACAGCAGAATCTATTTTGATATGATTATACAAACATGGAATAGATCTTATTCTAGTTCGAGTCCCATTTTTATGTAAGTACATGGTGGTGAGATTCACTGTGTTGTTTTCAGATACATACATAGGAAAAGTATGTCAGATTCATTCCGTTGTCTTTCCTCTACTTATCCTGCTCTCTCCCCTCCGTTCCCTATTGTTTAATCTACCGCACTTCTTTTTTTATGATTTATTATTTCTACCTGATAATAATGACATCAAATGTTATTGTAGCTTTCATTATATGCCAGGAATAATTCTAAGCTCTTTACATATGTTAATTCACTTAACTCTAAGAGAATCCCAAGAGTGCTACTAGTTTTTTTTTATTGGTTGTTCAAAACATTACAAAGCTCTTGACATATCATATTTCATACATTAGATTCAAGTGGGTTATGAACTCCCATTTTTACCCCAAATACAGATTGCAGAATCACATCGGTTACACATCCACATTTTTACATAATGCCATATTAGTAACTGTTGTATTCTGCTACCTTTTCTATCCTCTACTATCTTCTATTCTTTCCCTCACCAACTCTCTTATTATGCATGAGATTCCACCTATCAGAGGAAATATTTGACCTTTGGTTTTTTGGTGGGACTGGCTTACTTTGTGTAGCATGATTGTCTCCAGATCATTCCATTTATTGGTAAATGTTATGAAGCCATTCTTCTGTATAGCTGAGTAATACTCCATTGTGTATATATACCACATTTTATTTATCCATTTATCTCTTGAAGAGTACATAGGTTGGTATAGCTTAGCTATTGTGAATTGAACGGTTGTGTCACTGTAGTACATTGATTTTAACATCTTTGGATAACTGTGTTAAATGGTGGTTCCATTCCAAGTTTTCTGAGGAATCTCCATACTGCTTTCCATATTAGCTGCACCAATATGCAGTCCCATCAGCAATGTATGAGTTTACATTTTCCCCCACATCCTTGCCAACACTTATTGTTGCTTGTATTCTTGATAACTACCATTCTGACTGGAGTAAGATGAAATCTTAGTTTTGATTTACATTTCTCTAATTATCAGAGATGTTGAACATTTTTTCATGTATTTGTTGGTCAATTGTATTTTTTCTTCTGTGAAGTGTCTGTTCAGTTCCTTTGCCCATTTATTCACTGGGGTATTTGTTATTTTGATGTTAGGTTTTTTGAGCTCTTTACATATCCTGAAGATTAATGCTCTCTCTGAGGTGCATGTGGTAAAGATTTTCTTCCACTCTTAAGGCTCTCTCTTCATGTTATTGATTATTTTCTTTGCCAAGAAGAAGCTTTTTAATTTGAACACATCCCATTTACTGGTTCTTGATTTTTCTTCTTGTGCTTTAAGAGTCTTGTTAGCTTTTACAATGTTGAGGTATGTTCCTACAATCCCTAGTTTTTCTAGTGTTTGAGTATGAAAGGGTGCTGTATTTTTTAAAATGCTTTCTCTACATCAACTGATATAATTATATGATTCTTATCTTTAAGTCTATTGATGTGATGAGTTATATTTATTGATTTCCATATGCTTAACCAACTTTGCATCCCTGGAATGAACCCCACTTGATCATGGTGCACTATTTTTTAAAATATGTTTTTGTATGTGATTTGCCAGAATTTTATTGAGAATTTTTGCATCAATGTTTTGGGGGGGCACACCTGAGATATTTAAAAAGCCTCTACTCAGCCTTGGTGCCAAGGAGATTTTGGTCTGGCATTGCAAGTCGTTTTGTGGCTTCTCCCACTTAATGGATCATGCAAAGACCATAGTGACTTCAGTCTTTGCTGGGCTAGAGAGGCTGTTTTGTAGCTCCAGAATTGAGCATTACCTATTGGGCTTGGACAGCCCTCCTTCTACCTTATTTGGCAAATGAACATTCCATGAAAATCCTTTGAAGCCCCCTTGTATAAATAAAGAAAATATGGGCTCTTCTCACTCTCACCTTCCAGTGTGGAAGCAGGACCTCTAAGTTTGCAGAGCCATCCCACCACTGCTTTTTGAAAAATACTTTCTCTGTTGTGTGATTTTTTGCCATTTTTCTCAGCCTGAACTCTCTATGCAGAGGAAGCTCAAATTTCATAGCTCCTGTGGGACAGGGGTGAGAAATGCTCATCAAGGATATTGGTCTTGAATTTTCTTTCCTTGATGTGTCTCTGCCTGTTTTGGGTATCAGGATGGTACTAGCTTAATAGAATGAGTTTGGAAGGGTTCCTTCCTTTTCTATTTCATGAAATAATTTGAGGAGTATTGGTATTAATTCTTCTTTGTAGGTCTTATAGAACTCAGCTATGAATCCATCTGGTCCTTATTAGGTCAGTTTGAGGTGGCTAAGGGAACAAATCACCAGGCAACCCGCACTCATGAAAGAACAACCAGTCAGGTGCCGACAGACAAGGAGTGATAGTGCCCCATAACCACCTGTCAAACAGTGGGCTCTCTTGACAAATCCTGGAAGGACACAGATCCCAGCAACATCCCCCCAACCAAGCAGGAGGACAAAGGACTCTAAAAATCTCCCTTTCCTGTCCCAAGCCCTCCCTTCCTGCCCTAAGCCCAATAAAACTCCAATCCAGCTGGGCCTGGGTGCTATTCTTCCAGACACACTCTGTTGGACTGGAGGGTCTTGCCTGGGAGCAAATCTCAATAAAACCTTGCTCAGCTGCTTTTAATCTGCCTCCTTTTGATCACCAGTGCCTGACCTTACAGTCCTGGCCTTTTCTTGGTTGGTAGGCATTTGATGGTGTCTTCTATTTCCTTGCTTGAAATTGATCTGTTTAAATTGTGTGTATGTCTTCTTTACTGAGTTTGGATTCATCATATGCCTCTAGAAATTTGTTGGTATCTTTGAGGTTTCCTATCTTACTGGAGTATAAATTTTCAAAATAGTTTCTAGTTGTTTACTGTATTTCATTAGTGTCTGTTGTGATGTTTCCTTTTCCATCACAAATTTTATTAATTTGAGATTTCTCCATCCTTCTTTTTGTTAGGGTGGCTAAGGGTTTGTCTATTTAATTTATTTTTCAAAGAACCATCTTTTTGTTTTGTCAATTTTTTAAATTGTTTCTTTTGTGTCAATTTCATTTATTTATGCCCTAATTTTAATTATTTCCTATCTTCTACTACTTTTGGTGTTGGTTGGTTCTTCTTTTTCTAGGGCTTTGAGATATAATGTCAGGTCATTTAGTTGTTGACTTTTTATCCTTTTAATGAATGAGCTTAATGCAATGGACTTTCCTCTTAGCACT